GCGCCCCCAGCCTGCCCGGCTGCCGGTGTCTCGCAGGTGACGGTGCGGGACGCGCTGAACCAGGCGCTGGATGAGGAGCTGGAGCGGGACGAGCGCGTCTTCCTGCTGGGCGAGGAGGTGGCCCAGTACGATGGCGCTTACAAGGTGCGTGGACGCCGTTACCGGGCCGGGAAGGGGGCTCAGGCGGGCCCTGACTCCTCTCTCGTGCCCTGCAGGTCTCCAGGGGTCTCTGGAAGAAGTACGGGGACAAGAGGGTGATCGACACCCCGATATCAGAGGTATGGCTGCCCGCCTCCTACCCTGGCCACCCCTTCACCAGCTGCTCCCCCGGTGCTAACCCTTGGTTTCCTTCTCTTTCAGATGGGCTTCACAGGAATTGCTGTCGGTGCTGCTATGGTTTGTAAATTTCATTCCTTTTCAGTTAAACATTTAAACTGTTTTTATGTAAAAACATACTAATATATATTTTAATATATTTAACAGGCAGGCTTGAGACCAGTGTGCGAATTCATGACATTCAACTTCTCCATGCAAGCAATTGATCAGGTTATAAACTCTGCGGCCAAGACCTGTTACATGTCTGCAGGATCAATCGCTGTTCCCATCGTCTTCCGGGGCCCCAACGGGGCATCAGCTGGAGTCGGTGCTCAGCACTCACAGTGCTTCGCAGCTTGGTACGGGCACTGCCCGGGACTGAAAGTTATTAGTCCTTGGAGCTCAGAAGATGCCAAAGGTCTGCTGAAAGCGTCAATCCGGGACGATAATCCAGGTGAACACAGGCAGATCACGGCAATACCTAGCACTCGATCCTGAAAAGAATGTCTGTTTTCCCCTCCTGCCCCATTTAAAACAAAAAAATATATTGTTAAACCCCAAAACACTTAAGGTTGTTTTACTGTAGCTTTAGGATACTTACAGAGGCACCGAAGTATCATTTCAAATACTTAACTTCTTCCTAACAGGCGCTTGGCTTGCTAGCAGTAGACTCTATAATTTTGTGCTGTTGCCAGCTACATATCTTTACTGCCAGTTTGTTACCAATCAGGAAACTTAAAAGAAGCATTTATGAATCTATCGTAAAGGGGTTAAAAAGGATGAAGATGACTGAGGAGGAGTTCCTGCGTATACAATGTCTATGTAACTCATTTTGACAGGTTATGATATGCATGTGATAAATTCAGAATGTCATTAATTAAAAGCAGGGCAACCTTTGTCTTTATTTCTCACAAACATGCATGCAAAATCTAAGACCTTTCTAAAACTAGAGATTCTACTGTTGGGTACCAAAAGTTAAACTTCTGATCTCATTTAAGACCAGTTATAGACAGTTTTTTAAATAATTCAGCATTGAAGTAAAGACTGTGGGTTTGGTTGGGGTTTTTTTAATTGCTTCTGCAAATATACTCCAGGAGGGGCTTAGTGTCTTGAGCTAGTCTGCTGCAGTACCATTAATCATCAGTAGAGTCCTTGGCCTGCAGATGTACACGTTAATCCAAGTATGTTTTCTTCTAGTTGTGATGCTGGAAAATGAATTACTGTATGGTGTTCCCTTTGAAATGTCTGAACAGGCACAGTCGAAGGATTTCGTTATTCCAATTGGAAAAGCTAAAATAGAAAGGCAAGGTAAACTGAGAATACCGCTTGTTTCCTAATTAACTGAACTGCCTGGGGACTTTTTTTTTAGCCTTTTTGCAGTTCAGAATACTGCTGTCATGGGGCACAGAAAAATATTTCAAGTCTTAAGTGTTCAAATGTTATTTTAATCTATAGTATACTTAATTGCTCTGTTGCCCATGTAAAGAAAAATCACTTGATTCTCTATATCTCATCTAAAACTAGACCTTTCTAAAAGATTTGTTCCTTAGTATAGAGATGTCTGAAAAACTTTTTTCCTCATCTTAGTATGTAATTTTTGTCAAAAACACAGAAGAGATCACTGTTGTATTTCAGCCCATTTGTCAGGATTTATCACTGAATTATATGAACATTTGAAAAGGATAATCTGAAAACTGTATTATAGTCTCCTCAGTTCTCTAAAGTAAAGGTTAAAGTTGTGTCTTTGCACAGTCCTTCTGCTACCACTCTTCATGTTATGTACGAGCGTAGAATACTTAGCATTTCAAATAAATTTAAGGAACTTAAATTTACAAGAGAATCCTAACATTACCTTGAAAGGAGCCTGCGGTCCAGAGAAAAGCTTTAAATCTTAAAGTTTGGGGTTTTTTTCTTTTTTAACTCTGGTTTCTATTGTAGGAACTCATGTTACGTTAGTGTCACACTCAAGACCTGTCGGACACTGTATGGAAGCAGCTGCTGTACTTGCCAAAGAAGGTGTA